CAGAGAAGCAAACGTGGTCTGTATGTATTATTTAGCATTAAGTGGTGTCTGCTGTGTGCTGGGCATGGTAAGATGAAAGAGGTGAGTCCTATCTTTAACCAGATTTCTAAGCCAAGCGGCTCAAATGGGAACGCTTACTTTAGAGCAAGAAATGACAAATTAGTCACTCTGCAGTCCTATGCACTGGGAACTTCAGGAAACCTAACATTAAGGCTCGCCCAAGCAACTTCAAGAACGGCTTTGGAGACGAAAGTGGTTACAAATGTGGATAGAAGATGATGAGAGAGGGGGACTCCACTAAAGTGGAGATGTTCTGAGCCCAGAAACCCAGCCAGAGAGGCCTAGAGAGTTTGCCTGTAGGCCGCACACTGTGTACGTGTGCACCTTTCCATTGGGAATTGTGACTGTGAGAGGAAGGAAAGAATTCTGACACAGGTGAGAGAAGGAACCCTGACCTTGGAATCATGAACTAAACTGGTGATATAAGCCACTTAAAAATTATAGCCAGAGAATTTTATGTTTCCTGAAGTTGAAACGCAATGTGCTCAATTCAGCCAAAGTTGGGTTATTGTGAGTCAACTACCTTTCATTTTAAAAACAGTTTTATGTTAATACATTTCCTGTTTTTAAACGTTTCCTTCTATTCCAATTTTCCTTTAAAAGTAGAATTTATCCAAAACATGATTTATGCAAAAGAATTACATAATTATCACAATAAATTCTCCTTGAAATAATTGTGTAAGGACTGGAGAGTGGATGTGTTTACTTTTGTGTGTTTTAGCTTCCCATCTCTTTTCACCTCAACATTTAGATGTTGACATGAACATTTAGAAAAGGCTAGAAGATGTCTGACTCTCAGAAGATAATCGGGCAGTGCTATTTTTAGGCTATATCTGCAGGGAACCTGGATTTTAGCAAGCAGCAGTGAACGACTAGGTGATCAATCCTGCCCTAGAGGATCAAAGTGTTTCTTTGCTGTGCTAACTGACCAGCTAAATGACTGATAAGAACTAAAATACAATGGATTAGATTAATCCTGAGAGTGGAGCATGGCTAATACAGAGTTTGCATTCAGATATAAAAGCAGTTATCTACCTTTGTAAATATTGTCCTTTTACCTGCTTTTTCCATTTTCGAACAATGGAAAAATCTGTTAGGACTGAATATGCAGCTCAGGCAACTGAACGCTTGCCTAGCATGCACAAGGCTATGGGTTCAAAGCCTAGCATAGCATAAAGTGTGCATAATGAGTATCACGTACTCGTCATCTCAGCTCATAGGAGTTGGAGGTGGGATGACCAGAAGTTCCAGGCCAGCTTAGCGCAACAGGAGACCCTGTCCCAAAAGCCATCTGTATATGCGAAGGAAGAGCTGTTATTGGTGGGTTTTTCAAAAGAGTAATACTCCAATCCTCCAAGTCATCTTTTGTGGTGAACTAGAAAGGCCAATCAGCATGAAGAAAGACCTTAGAACTAACTAATTGAAATCAGAGTCTGCCTTCTCTGCTTTGAGACACTTCTGAGAAACAAGATGGTGCTAACTATTAGCAAAGGAAACTGTTCTTGAAGTAAATCCAATTCTGAGCATATACACTGTATCTCTAGATTCTGTGCAAACTACTTCCTCTTAATTTTGTTCCAAGTTCTTTGAAAATGAGTCAGTCTTGAAAAACTGACTTGTATGGATGTCTTCTCTGAAGTAATATCTAAAGGCATATTTGGGGGTGCATATGCACCCTCATGTTTTCAGCAGGTTAACTGGGAAACAGTGGCTTTTCCCCCAAGTCTCACTCATAAAAACTGTTTCTGTGGAAGTCTTCATAGATCGCACCAACTTGGACTTGAAGTGTGGTGTAAGGAATGATGTCTGATATTATATAAGGTTTAATTCTAAGTCATTGGTGTAATCAGCTTGTTCTTAAAATGAAAAGTTGGAAAATGTGTTTCCATCGATTCCATAAAATTGTTGAGTTCTGAATGAATTTGAATATAATTTAGAATTAAATATAAATAGAACATAATTCAGTCTTTGAAATAAGTGAACTAAAATCATCATAAATTCTAACAAAAAATGATTGTGAAGATAATCCTTAAGTTAAACCATGAATTAATGCCGTCATAATATGAACACTAACCATTTTTCTATGCCTTCAGGGATAATAGCTGTATTTTAAGACAGTGTCCATTCCATATAAGGGAATATTTGTCTGCGATCACAGTTTCAGCTGATTCGGTCAGTGGTCATTTGTGCCTCAAGCCTGAGCCCAGACAGATGACCGTGGGGGGAGTACACGACAGAAGTGGTCAGTCTGCCTCATAGCAGTCGTAGGACAAATGCAAGTGGCTAGAGTCACCATTCCCATGTCAAGGGATCCCTTCAGGGACTGAACTTCTAAGACCCATATCCTGAAGATTGTCTCAGTGCCTCGCAGTGCCATAGGCACAAAAACTTTTCATTAGTGGCCTTTAAGGAACATTTGAGATCCAAAGCATATATAACAAATGATACATACACACACACACACACACACACACACACACATTTTCAAAGGTAACTGTGTTCCTACCATCAGTGCTATTATGTATCTTAATTGTAACATTGTATAAAGAGCGCAGAGAGCTGAGACGCTCCATCTCTTGTACTCACCGAATATGAACTGGAGATAATATAAAATCCCGTATGTGTTCCTTCTGAATTAGCATTCAGAGTCTAACTGAAGAAGGTCTCTAAAATATGGAAATCCTAAACATTTCAAAAATAACAAATCATTTAATCATAGAAGGTTATTGGCTTAAAATGAATATGAAGATTGTATAAGTTTTTACATTTTTAAAAATGTTTTTAAATGTTGTTGTTGCTGCTGCTGTTGTTGTTTGTGTCCATGTTTTCCTGTGTGACATTTTATGCACCACGTCCAAGCAGGAATCAAAAGAGACCAGAAGATATTCCAGATACCCTGAAACTGGAGTTGCAGGTGGCTACGAATCACTGTGTAGATGCTGGGACCTGAACCTGGGTCCTTTACAAGAACAGCAAGTGCCCTTAACCACTGAGCCATTTCTCCATCCCCAAGATGTTACATCTTTATGTTTTTCATCATTGAAGAAGCAACTGAAGATCCTTACTTACATGTTGATCTCAAGCAATGTTGCCCTAAGACACCAGTGCCTTTATGTATCTCTACACAGAAAAGTTATTTTATAATTATGTCTTTTTCTAAGAAGTAAAGTTGATAATTTTTTATTGCCACATCCAAAAAAAGAGAGAGAAAGGGATAAATTTTTTGTTTACAGCCCCCAAATACAAGGGGGTCCACCTTATCACTTGGGGCCATATAAGGAAACAAATTACAAAACACATGCTCAGAAGGCAAAAGGAGCAAGGAATAAAATGTAGACCTGAGCCTTTACAGCAGATTCCACACAAGCAAGGCCCCATGAGCAGCTAAGCCAGCCTACAATCTGATGGTCTGAAAAGCTATTACTCTTATTGGGTTTTTAAGTTTTAAAAGTTCTTTCAGCACAACTAAATAAATCAACCCTATAAAAATACACATGGGCAATTCTCCAAAAGATTCAAAGCTCCCATATTTAATTATTTAAAAGGTTTTTTGATTTAATCTTAATTTATCTGTATGGGTGTCTTACCTGAGTATACGTCTGTACCAGTTGTGTGTCTGGTGCCCTCGGAAGCCAGAAGGGGGCATCTGACTCCTGGAACTGGAGTTATAGACTGTTGTGAGCCAGCCACCATATGGGTTCTGGGAATTGAACCTGGGTCCTCCGGAAGAGCAGCAAGTTCTCTTAATTGCTGGGCCATCTCTCCTGCACCCTATCTAAAAAAAAATTTAATGAAAATGTCTGGGCCAGAACAAGCCAGAAAATTGTGTTGCTTGAGAAAGCTTTGTCTTAGAATCACAGTCACTGTATTTAATAACTAAGACTAATAAAAAAAATCAGAGAAGGAGCTGGGTGGTGGTGGACTACACCTTTAAGCCCAGCACTTAGTAGGCAGAGGCAGGCAGATCTCTGTGAGTTTGAGGCCAGCCTGGTCTACAAAGCAAGTTCCAGGACAGGCTCCATAGCTACAGAGAAACCCTATCTCAAAAAAACAAAAATAAAAAAAAAAATCAGAGAATGATCAGCCTTACTGGAAACACCAAAGTATGTGTGTTCTCAGTAGAAGTGGGGCCTTTAGTTCATCAGTGTAAAACACACACACACACACACACACACACACGTATGCACACTCGCACACTCATACACACACACATGTATACATACACACACAAAAAGAAGGTTACTTTATGCTTTTATCAACTAATCTTTTTTTGAGACAGGGTTTCTCTGTGTAGCCCTGACTGTCCTGGAACTAGCTTTGTAGACCAGGCTGGCCTCAAACTCACAGATCCACCTGCCTCTGCCTCCCAAGTGCTCAGATTAAAAGCATGCACCATCACCGCCAGGCTATCATCATATTTCTTAAGTTTGCAAGAGTTTTTCTATCTGGGAATTTTAGAATCTTTTGCACAATATTCTGGAAATTGGTCCAATCCCTATTTTCTCAACTCTATCTCTCTTTGCCTTCTATTGAGACTTTCTGGCGAGGAGAAAAGACTCAGTCATGTGGGGAACATTGGGTGGAAATTCTTGTCTCCCAGCAGTCTTCATAAATAAGACTATCTCTCAGATTTGCACACAGACTTATTAGCATCATGACTGCAATCATGGAGAAGATGAAGGGCACATGGGCATGAAGTCAGTTTAACAAAATGAGTTTCTTTCCTGTTGAAGTCTTTGAAGAAGACAGTCACCAGAGGACAGAGACTTGTATTTAACCAGGTTATGAAGCATGTCGGCTTGATGATATGCTCTTGGCACTAAGTCCTTAATTAGAAATTCCGTGAGAGCTGATCCCAACAGGTGCTCCAGGACAAAATGATGAAATGATCTAGAAGGGAACTCCTTGCTAAGCACACAGCGCACAAGTGTGGATGAAGAGGAAGGAATAACGTGTCGTTTGTACGAGAAGCATCATGACAGTGTGCTGGATTTTGAACGAGAGCATGTCCGTTGTGGTGGTGGTGAGTACCGCTCCCCTTAGTTGTCTCTAAGAGTCACTCATTCTCGGGGAGGTGACATTTCTAAAACAAAGTCTGGAAATACAAGCTTAAGTATGAGACTGAAAATTTGTTAGCAAACATTCTTTGAATCTATTTAATTTACCCTTGTAGAATCGTGCTAAGTTGTTTTCCTGTTCAGTTCATTCTTTAGTATTTGAGTCAAGTAGTTTGTTTTGCATGATGTAGAAGTACATCTCTCTAACAAATGAAGCTTTTAGTTAGCCTGTGGATTTGTCACTTTTCTAGAGTTCTTTAAAAATGTCCCACCTCTTCTCACCAAGGCCAATCCCTGTTGACTAAGGAGAGTCTAGGCTTGACAGGAAATACTTTGAAGTTGACCCCACGTATTTAAAACAATGTTAACAAAAGGAGTCATTTCTTCTTATTTGTAATCACTGCTAAAACCTAACCTGGAAGAAATAAATGGATGGAACAATTTGGATGAAAACTGACAAGCTCTCCATATCACCTGAAAAGATGAAGAAGCCCAAGTGATCCTGAGTGGGGGGATTGGGGGTGGACAATGGCATTGACCATGTCTCCTTTTGTTATGTCTAGCTCTCATGGCTGGCAGTAAACTTCTATCTATTTATTGACACATTCTGTTGGTATGCCGAAGAGGAGGCTTTCTTTTACACGCGAGTTATTCTGGGTGTAAGTAGATTTAATGACAATCTGTTATTGTTTCAGAAAAGCCAGTGCCTTCTATTTTTCCAAACTTCCATGTTTTCACTCTCCCTCCTTTCCATGTCTCTAACTTGTGGACAGTCTACCCTAGCATGGGCCCGAGCATCTGCGGTGTGCCTCAATTTTAACTGCATGCTAATTCTGTTACCTGTCAGCCGGAATTTCATTGCGCTGGTGAGAGGAACAAGTGTGGTAAGTACAAAAATATTTTAAGCAAGCTCAGTTGTTTCTTTCTAACATAGTGCATCTGGAGGCTGGAGAGATGGCCCAGTAAATATGAGTGCTTTCTATGCAAACCTTAGAATATGAGTTTAAATCCCCAGAGTCCATGTAAAAAGCAGGGTGTGTGTGTGTGTGTGTGTGTGTGTGTGTGTGTAACACCAGCACTGCTGTAAGTCAGAGGCAGGAGACTCACCAGAGACTAACTGGCCAGCAGCCTAACTAACTCCAGGCTCTATAAAGACCCTTATCTCAAGGGAATAAAGCAAAGACTGGAAGAATAGGCAACCTGATATTCTCTGACTTTGTACTGTGTGCATACATACACACACACACACACACACACACACACACACACAGTTTCTACAAGTATGATTGAAGAACATTATTTTCCTATGAACCTCCCAGTAGTTTGTGTTTACACTAGTTAAAACCGAAGGTCAGCACACCCGATTTGACTTTGGTGTTTGTCATTGGCACTGGACTTGTCACTCCACCGTTTCCCACGTGGAGATGAAAGGATTATGGCGGTTTGAACTGCAGATGTTTCTGACTGAAGGGAGATAAATAAGATGTTGAGACAGGCTCCACTTAGGGAGCATCCGAGTTCCTACCCTAACCACCATCCCAGGGCCTGGATGGAGTCTGGTGATTCTGACTGATCAGGGCATGGTAGCGCCTTTCCTAACCATATTTATTTCACCATGCTAACCACCTGCATTCCTCTCTTCATGAAAACAACATGCAGAAAAATAAGATTGCCAGGCACCTTTATGAGAAGAAATACTTCACTGTGGAATCAGCGCAACCTAATGAATATTAGTTATAGATGCAGAGCGGCTTTCTTACATAATAAGAAATAGTGTCTGAGTCACTAGAAACACATGGGCGTGGCAGTTATCGCTTCTGCATCCTTTAAGCTGACTGAGGCAAGGCTATAAGGCTTATTTAAGAGCTTTGAGTTATAGCCAGAAATCTAAGAATTCCAGCACTTGGAATGAGCCAAAATTTCGGCAAAACAGGTAAAAAAATTTTGGGTTTGCTATGATTAATTGTCACTGGCTTGTAAGTCCTGTGTCCTGACCTGAAGCAACACAGAGGTCCGTGGAGCCTGAGTCTTGACCTCTGAGGTCTCAGGGCAGGTTAGCTCTGCGTCCACCGCCTCACTTTCTGTTCTTTTGTTTTGATGCTTCAGTGCTGCAGAGGACCATGGGGAAGGCAACTAGACAAAAACCTCAAGTTCCACAAACTTGTTGCCTACGGGATAGCTGTTAATGCAGGTAAGAACTTACTAATGGTCCAATAGGCTTGTTTGGTACTGACTTCATAGTTTGTGTCTATCTCTCCCAGTCTCACCTCTAGAGAAAAGAAACTTTGACCTTTTATCTGACCACATGACACCTTGTGTTTACATTTCTTTTAGTTTCTAATCTATACTCAAATGAGTTTTTCCATAATAATGCCTCAATTATCCAAGGAAAGTTATTGAAATTTCCTTTTGTTTGTGAATAAGTGGATCATTTGTAATACAATGATAGATGCCTATTTAAATTAGCATTTTGCTATTCATAGAATCCAAAACTAAACCAGTTTACATCCAAAATCTCACTTGTATAACTGGCTACTGCCAGTTAGTGACTGTTCGATGCAGAGAGTCTAGTGTTGGTCTTAGTGTGGTAAGGATACCTTACTCTTAGCTCTGACATCAGAGGCAGAACAAGGAAAAAAGAAAAGAGTGGTCATGTGAACTGGATTCTGAAGAGTATTGAGTTAGTGAACATAGAGGAAGCATGAAAAAATATACATTGTATAGTCATATGAGCTGCTACTATCCCTGTTACTCTGTCATTTAAGAAGAAATTAGTATCTGCGTTCAAAGTCAGACACCCAGGAGGAAGAAAAGGATGAGAGGGGAGGCTGACTTGTGGTTTTGCTGGGAACCAAAGACGTTGAAGTAAAGGCCACCGGAACCATAAAGAGTTATGATTCAGGACTCTTTCTCTCAAACTAATTTAACTATAAAATGTTTTCCTCATTTGTTTTTATTCTCTCATGCATAAAAAATAGCAGAGTAAAAGGAACACTCAAAACAAATGTGAATTTAATTAAGCAACAAGACATGACAGACGGTGCCCGAGTGCCAATTAACACAACTTTGGGTGTGCAGTGAGACATAGGGAGAAGATTCTCCCCATCGATTGTATTAAACGCCATATCAAACCAACTCAAGATCCGCTTTACAGAAGGGCTTTGTAGTTTGTGAGGAATTTAATGTAAACAAAATCAAGTCCTAGAGGAAGCAGTTGGTGGATGGGGGTTAGAGACAAGGCCGGTCTAGCTGCACCTCTCAGGGCCTGGAAGGAACGCTGCAGGATATACCTGTGTGCTGAGAGCACTTGGAAGTGAGTCGCAATGCCTGTATATAGACATCAGCTTGGAAATGGAAGTCTTTCCCACACTTTGAAACTATCAAAAATCAAAATTCATTTCCCCTGACAACACTGACCTCCCTGTAGTGGGGGCAGATTCCAGGCACAGACTAGGAAGCCAGAAGGAATTCTAAGGATCTCTGGCTTGCTTTAAAATCTTCAAAATTCCTTGTTTTTAGCTGGGCAGTGGTGCTGCATGCCTTTAATCCCAGCACTTGGGAGGCAGAGGCAGGCGGATCTCTGTGAGTTCAAGGCCAGCCTAGTCTACAAGAGCTAGTTCCAGGAAAGACACCAAAGCTACAGAGAAACCTTGTCTTGAAAAAAACAAAACAAAACAAAAAACAAAACAGAATTCCTTATTTTTACATTAGGAATAGAGGTTGAACACAGTAAAGGGGCAAAAAGGATCTTATTACTATACATAGCTTAAAGACAGACTCAGTCTTTATAAGAAAGCTATACAGATATAAAAGGGGTCATCAAAATCCGTCAGAAAGGGACATAAATGCTACATGAAAATGTGAGCTATGAAAGGCTTTCTTCTTAAACCTCTGGGTTTATATTCTTTGCATGTACTCATAAATCAGTAGTATGAATGCATAGGTAATATACACTGAATATCTCCTATGAGCAGAGGGTCCTGATAAGACTGAGGCCCCTGTGGACTGCATTGTTTCAGGGTGGTGTGAAATTTAGTGTGAGCAGTGTTTGCCCATGATCACGTGTCAAGTTTCATTTATAGTCCCTCTGTGTTTGGTTACATGAGCTCAGAGTAGGTCTCTTCAGCATTCTGTGGAATTAAATGAGCATCAATAGTAATATAATTTCTCCACCTCAGTGAGATATATGGATTAAATCTACTTGGGGAATCTGAAGAATACGAGGGCGTTCATTCACTTGCTGTAACTGCAAATAAGGTCAATCCAAATTCCAGGGCACGGTAGTTGGACTCCTCAGCTAACTTGCCACACCCTCATTACCTTTTCCTCTTGGGTACTCTCCAGAGTCCTGGATGGGTTTAGATGTTCCCTCTGCCAAAATTCCCTCTCCTTCATGGTCCTCCTTGAGAAAGGCACTACCATATCAAGGACCTGCTGTCTGACCACTTGTCCTAGATCCAAGCTTCTTCACCTACATGCCACAACTCCCTAAACAAGAGTGACAGTCCTGTCTCTGAGCGCCCTGAGGCATGGGGTATCTCTGGAATCTTAGCAGCCCTGGTCACTAACATAAGAAGACTGCAACTGATTTGTTCAAAGCTCAGTGAGTGGCATCTACTCGCATTGGAGAGAGGCTGTAGAGATTGACAGGAAAGGGTACAAGACACAAATGCCCGAACTCTGGGTAGATGGAACAGGGTTGGAGGATGAAGGGATACAAAACCATGCTAATCATTCAAGATCATAAATTCACATTCTGCTGCAAGGAGAAAAAGCAGGATGTTCTTTCTCCCTCTTTCCCCTCAAAAATTGCCGAAGGGCATTAGTATTCTTCCCAGCCCCCTCCTCTTGAACTCCTGCTGCTCGGCTCTGCTCCTGAACACCTCCTGGGGCTCACCCTGGCAGGGTCAGAGCTGTATCTCCCAGCAAAGTACCCTCATCCTGTCTTCCATGGCAACCAGCCCCACTGCTGTGGTTTCCAGCCCAACAAAGGCAGGGTGGTAGAAAGGAAATGCTCTCCTTCGTCCAATCCTTGACAACGCAATTACTGCATTTCACATTAACTAAGAAATGTGGCTAGCAACTGTGCTTTTAGAGGGGGCGTGGGGCGAGCAAAACCCCGGTTTCATAGCTACACCTTGCTTTCCTCGTTCGTCCTTCTTCCGCATTCACGGGGGAGCAGCTGCAGTCTCCCTGAGCTTATTTTATTAGCCTCGCCCATTACACTGCTTTTCAAACGGCCAACTGGCTTAATAGAGGTGTGTAACCTTGGAAGAAATGCATCCGCGAAGTTTGCATGCCAACCTCTAATTTCTCATCCGTTTCCCCTAGAAGTTGAACTGCAGTCTCTAATTGGTGGGATCACTAAAGGATGTAATTAGAGACTGGTGGGTGTAGGCTAGGGAGGGGAGGAAAGAGGTAAAACAATGCTATCTCTAATCAAGGGCATCATGGAAAAGGCAGTGACAGGAGCCATTTCTTCCTGCCTTCCTGCTTGCCTGCCTACGATAAGCAAACCCCTCCGACCGCGGATAAATCGTGTTCAGGGACCTGTAAGCCCACTGGCATAAAAATCGTAGTTTCACAGCCTTTACGTTCTTATTAACGTGGATCTTTCTGGATTCCCTGGTCCATGGCAGACCTTGAGGACCCCGCCAATTGAAAGGCAGTTCTTGGAGCCTGGGTTTCCATCAACGGAAGTTGTAAATTGTGACCCGCACAGCTCTTTCTGCAAATTCTGCAGCTTGTGTCTGCCAGGTTTCAGGGGTGTAAAATTACCCTGAGTGCAACTCCTGATGAGTTGCTAAAATTAGTTCGCAAACATCAATAAACAGAGCAGGGGCAGGTTGAGACGAGAGGCTACAGAATAAAGGTACTGAGAAAATAATGATTTGGATCTCCCAAGGTAGAGACCGCCCCAAAGGCACAAACTCCTCCAGATCTGACCTCTAACAAATTGCTACCAACCAGTTCACCACTTCCACTGGAGGTACGCAGAGAGTCAACAAGGCTCCATCCGGAGTCCTGCCTCGTAGGTTTTAATGTGACTTACAAACACATGGCTCACAGCGTGCTGGAATGCATCGGCTCTCTACCAGTCCCGCATTGGAAAGGCAGCCAGATTCTAACTTCAGAAGCACGGGGGAGATTCTCTTCCTAGGTCCTCGCTTCCATGCCACCTTAATTAAGGGGTGCCTCACTCCAGACCGTCTGCCGTATCTGACAGGCAGGCAGAAGGGTATTAGAATTGACCCCTTTCCAAGATCCCCCCAATTATTCCCCCTTTGATCTCCAGGGGAAAAACTAAGAAGGGAAAGAAAGACATAAATGGCACTTTCTTGGGGCGACTAACTCTAATTGTAGCTTTTATGATTTTTTTTGTCTGCTCTTGAATAAAACTTCCTTATTTGAATTCAGAGGTTCACGGATTAAATGTGCATGCACAGCATTGCCAAGATATCTGGTCTCTCGAAAAGTATTTTGGTGAGAAAATAAAATTGTAGGAAGACCCGCTGACAGCCCGGTACCTCGGGGTGGGTTATGGAAGGAGGGAGCTTGAGCTTTTGCCAGGCACAGCTGAGTATACCATGGAAAGTCGGCAAGGGCACACAGGAACTCATTCTCAGTCAGGGGCTTTGGATTCAGTGCAAGAGGGAAGTTCTCCCATTTAAATCACTCACTGTGGAGTCCTGGAAACAAATTAACATATGAATTTCACATCTGTAGAATCTTTTTGAATGATAAGCATTTTCAGTGAGCTTCAAGCACCACGTGGCATCACGTGATGAGAGGATTTAAAATGCCATGTGGGGGTGGCATGGGCATTTTTTGCTCAATCTACCCATTTGACAGATAAGAAAATAGAGGCAGAAATAAAATAGGTAACTGAAAAGCATCCACTTTGGTGTTATTTCTGCTAGACACTAACACCCAATCTAATATGATTGAAGGTATCTCAACGACTATCCTGCTAGAAACTAATGCATCAGCATCTTACACCCACTTCAGAAATAACTACTGCCATACCACAATGTTTTGATTGTTCATATTAAAAAGAATAAGATGTATTTTTTAGAAAAAGGGAGAAAATACAATGTCTGAAAGGGAAAAGAGCAATACCTATCCTGTGACTTCCAGGTCCCAGAAATGCTGAGTTTAACAGCTCACAGATCTATTTCTAGTTTTCCACTTAGGTCAACTTTTAGAGGAAAATAAAGCATTTACACGATCAAAATGGGCTCCAGGTTTTTTTATCCTGAGGGTCCCTGAGATAACTAAAATAGTATGTATTTAATATACGTTGTTAAACCAAACGAAGGTGGAGAAGGCAGAAGCAAGGAAACATTTAATATATAAGCTTTAAAATACTTGAAAAATACAGATAGCATAGTTCTAGCAAGGTCCTTAGAGGTCACCTCTTGAGAGGTGTCTTGGGTTTCCTTCTCCACTTCGTTAGCGCCTTCAGCTCAAAGAGAAGAGACATGGCAACAGAAGAGAATCAGTAGCTCCATGTCCTAAGTCATCCATCCCACATATTGTAGTTTAATACTGTTAGATTCTCTTGTGGAAATCAACCAATCAGAAGCAGATTGTGATCAACAGCTCATTACAAGGGAGCAGAGTGTCAGGAAACCCATTTCTTCCTGACAGTTGGCGACAGACGGTCCTTCTCCTTCGGCAAACGAGTCCCGTAATATGATATGAAAACCAGTTTCCATTCTCTCCTTCGGCAAACGAGTCCCGTAATATGATATGAAAACCAGTTTCCATTCCCGGGAAATGGGAATGCCCCCGGAACCTGTCTCCCTGGAGGGAGAGTGAAAGAAAGAGCAAGGAGAAAGAAGTGAGTGGGGGAGGGGCCAAATGGAAGCAAACACTTAGGATAGCTGATGACCTCAGACACCAGAGCAGAGCCATAGCTATAGAGCCAGGGTGGTGCCACACCAAAGGGCCCCAGGAAGACAATCAGAATGTGATCTAAATTCACAGCAGGAGCTATTTAGAATAAATAGTAAAGTTAGTCAAAATAAACAATATGGCCCATGTGTGCAAAGACTGACCTTGGGGTCACATAAGCAGGTTTTCATCCGACTTTCGCCAATGTCCTTTTGAATATTTGTCTGCAAAATGGGGCTTCCTGCCTGCAGACCAAATTAGGAGGCACACCTACAGCATTGTTGACAGCGTCTGGTATGCAGTAACATATGAATACCATAAGAATATGGTAGTATTCTGTATATACTACCTATGAGAGATATAACTTGACTTTTAAAATTAGTCAATTATTAGAAATTTAGAAATTATGGGTGATGTCAGCCTTGAATTTAGCAAGCACTCCCCATTTTCCCTGCACCATAGTGTAGAAGGCTGATGCCCAGGAGTCTCTTTCTTCTTGGATTCCTGGACTGAACAACAGACCCCTTACAGACATGGCCACATGCGGTGATGGAGTGGGAGTATTGATCATTTTCATTCCTCTGTGGAAATATCTGATGTTGGGTATTTTATAAAAAACAAAACAGATTTGTTCATGAAGTGGAAATACTCAACAGTGTGATGCAAATTCCTTCAAGCCGCCCTGGGGCTGTGCTAAATCATGGCAGAAAGCACTGTGTCTAAGCCACACAGAGGGAGAGATCATTGTGACACCTGAAGCCAGAACACAGGAAAGGGTAGCAACGACCCCTCTTTGGAACCACCTCTTAACGGTCTCATCGCTCCTCAGCATTACCATGTCAGTGTCTCCACGTGAACCTTAGCAAGGACAAGCCACATACAAACCGTGACAGCTCCTAAGGAGACAAAGCATTATGTATTGGATGAAAACTTTGCCGAGCTCACTGAGCCCATAAGGCGGCAATGAAGATCAAAGCTGTAGAAACACTATCGCTTTCTTTGGGGGAGCTTCAGAAGTGTGCCTGATTTAACTTTCAACTTAAAGCTTAAAGAAAAATATGCCAGATATAGACATCAGTAGATACCCATCTCCAATCAGAAAACAATTCATTGCTTTCTTGATCCTTCCTTTTTAATCCCTGTCTTTCTGTAATCTCAATGTCATTTAGCAAGTAGTTATGAAATATTTACTGATGCTAACGAGTGTGTCAAGATGAGGTTTCAAAGAGGGACAAGTCTTGACCAGCCAAAGTCCTTTGGAGACAGGTGAGCATAGATAAATTTTCAGAACAGTACTTTCTGAGAAGCTGTAATCAAAACATGGTGTGTGTGTGTGCTTGTGTGTGCACTTGAAGAATGTGTGTACAAAACAGCTTTTGAACTGAGTCTTAAAGCATGAGAAGAGGAGCTGAATTTGAGAGAAGAAGCTCAGTTTACAGAAAAGAAAATTCTGCTAGATAGAAGACAAAATTTCTTAATAACAGCGTGGCTCTGACACAGTCACCAAAACAGCAGTGATATTCTGAAGAGTCTAGTGTGTGCATTCATGCCTACACATGTGTCTTGTGTGTGTGCAATCATACTTGCACATATGTATCTTGTGTGTGTGTATTCGTACCTGTGCACATGTGTCTTTGTTTGCATTCAGCCCTGCACACATGTGTCTTGTGTATGTGCACTCAAACCCACATGCATGTGTTTTGTGTGCATGGATTCATACCTGTGCACATGTGTCTTGTGTGTGTGTGCCTTCATGCCTGTGCACATGTATATATGGGAACCAGAAGTTGGTATTAGGTGTCTTCCGTGCTTGTTTTCGATCATATTTTTTGATACAGGGTCTCTCCAGGAGGTTGGAGCTTACCATATTTCTGGGATCAACTGACTGTCCAGCAATTCCAGGCTTCAACCTCTCTCTCTGCCCAGTATTGAGATTATAAACCTGAACTGCTGTGCCCAGCTCTTACACAGGTGCTAGGGACAGACCAGAAGCTGCTTAGGTTTTTTTCCCTTCATTCTGCCCCACCTCCAATCACAGTGGACAACCATGGAGAATACTGTAACATACCCACAGTGTGTATCGACTATAACAGTAGCTGGCACGGTTACTTCCCTTTGAGGATGCAGAAGTTATGGAAGTGGGAAATAACTATGTCCTGAATAATGAATCCTGCAATCACACTGGAGTCTGATCATAATGGTGTGTGTCAACTGGCCACCCACCTTGGTCTCCATGGAGATAATGTGACAGCTGACTTCCTGACATTGTTCCCAAGCTAGGAGAAAGCAGCATGGACACAGAATCCTCAGATCAAATCATACTGTATCCTTGAATTTGTCCTCTTTACCAAGCACTTAAACATCAGCTCTCAGAATTAAATAGCACACTTCCCTTAACAGTACAGAAAGAATATGTTTGGTTCCACAAATACTGGAACTGGCTCATTTCAATTCTGTAAGAATCATCTGTGTGTGTGTGTGTGTGTGTGTGTGTGTGTGTGTGTGTGTGTTTAAGCATATATATACATATTTGTATATACCTATACACACACATACATGTAAAATATATGAGAAGGATGACAGAAAATAAGTCTGAAAAAAATGTAAAGACACTATCTCCCTGGCATTAACCTATATGTCAAATAAACATATATTGCAGTGAATGATACATCATGTCCTAGAATAACTCTTTCTTATTTCTTCAGGAAGCTTTGTATTTCCATCCCTATCACTGTATCATCTTTCCTTATGAATTATCTTGTCTACATAACTGCCTTGCTAGGACTACTGTTGTGCTATGATAAAACACCAAGGACAAAATAGCAAGTTGGGGAGAAAAGGATTTATTTGTCTCCACCACTGAAAGAAATCAGGGCAGAAACTCGAACAGGGTAGGAATCTTGAGGCAGGAGCTGATGCAGAGACCATGGAGGGGGTGCTGCTTACTGCCATGCTCCCCATGGCTTGCTCAGCCTGGTTTCTTACAGTTTCCGGGACTACCAACCCAGAGGTGGCTCCACTCACATCAATCAATAATTAAGAAAATGCTCTACAGTCTGGCTCACAGCCTATCTGATGGAGGCATTTTCTCACTTGAGACTCCTCCTCTCAGATGACTGTGGCTTTTGTCAAGCTGACATAAAAATAGCCAGCACAATAACCATGTTCTGACATCAGGACTTGCATCACTTCCAAAGTGATCATATATTTAAAATTAAATCATAGTAAATTGAGATGGCTTTATTTTTTAATATAATTAAAATGCATGTGAAAAACCATTCACCATATGTCCCGTTCCAATTGAGACACTGGGAAAGATGGACAGATAAATCACTTATTCTTGTCGGTTGCCAAAACCAGAACAGAGAAACTTAAGGTAGCAGCATGGCATTTTGAAATAGCTAAAAGGCGCAAGTTTGATACAGCCTATGTTTGATGCCTCTTCATTCTCAGCGATCCACATTCTGGCACACTTGGTCAACATGGAGCGCTACCACCGGAGCCAGGCCAAGGATGCTGAAGGACTGCTGGCTGCACTTTCCAAACTTGGCAATGCTCCAAATGAGAGCTACCTCAATCCTGTCCGCACCTTGAATACGGTGAGCTCTTGCATGGTCTTGCTTCTGCAAAATCCTTCTCCTCCCATCCCGATACCGAGAACAATAGTTTGCAAAAGCTTTACATAAGAGAGCTGGATAAAAGAGGTTTCTGCCAAATGCTAATATCAATTTCACCTTTCTTTTTTAAAAGCTACTTTTCCAACCATTAGCATGGCTGGGATGATGTGGGCAAGGAGAAAACACACTCTGCTTAATTACATTACAGTGAAAGCACATACATGGTATCTTAGGAATGCAAAAACCTGATAAAGCCCTAATATTAAGAATTTTGAAAGTGACTCCTGATCAGATTTCCTTCACTGATGTTAGATTGGTAAAGCATTCACCCTCCAAATCCAGAAGTGATGGATTGGATGCTCCATTTTCAACCTGCAGATTGTTTTCTGGGTCTGTTCTCTGCACCTCCTATTCTGGCACATGTGTGAACAGCTAGTTTGCCAAACCAAACATTGACCAAAGAAGGTCATTTCAGAGTGATAACTGCATGGCTAGTGACTCCATTAATGCTAATACCTAAAGGTACAGAAAAGCAGTGCCTCTGGGGGAAAAAAATAAAATCAGCCACAGCATCCTATAATAATGGCAAACTCACAGCATCCTACGGTAAAGGTAAAAAAATCAGCCACAGCATCCTATGCTAAAGGTGAAGTCACAGCATCCTATGGTAAATGTAATAAAATCAGTCACAACATCCTATGGATAAAGACTTTCCTCTCCCTTATCCCGCCCTTACATCTTCTTTTAATGGTTCATCCAAACATTTTTCTATGGACTACCATTTTGGAACAAAGACCAGTTGTTGTTGTTTTGTCTAGAAAAAAATAATCTGTTTTCCAAGAAAAGTCTTAAGGCCATACACCCCATCGATAGGAATCTCTCTGTCTGTTACTACCTGGGTCCTCTCTATAAGGCGTGGTTTTGCTCAGGTTCTTTTATTTGAGAAGGAAAATTCAGATTCTAGTTAGGAGGAGATTCTTCCAAGTCAAGTACTTGATTTTCTCATGAAGGCTTCCAACATCAGGCCATTAATAAACCAAATTCCCTTTTCTTAACTGACAGCAATTAGAAGCACAAATTTCATAGCTACAAATCAAAGCTGCAGATGCCCTAAGCATGCAGAAATGCCTTTTAATGACGTTTTGTTGAATCTCAGAATTTATCTGGCCACCTGTTTGGGTCTACATTTTCCCCCACTAAGGCTTTACAAAATTCACTGCTCACGAGAGACTCAAGAATAAATCTCAACATCTTGAAGAGACTATGCGATAAATAGTGTTTATTATAAATAACCTTTAAAGCAATTTAACAAGCTAATTAAGCTACTTCAAACACAGTTGTTTCAAAATTTTAGAAGCAACATACTAGGTAAGTACTAATTAAGCTCAGAAGCCCCTTAATTTGGGTATTTGGAGAGATGATTATCAATAACTCAAAACATACATTGAAGCAACTCTTAGGTGATGCAGTGAGATTATTTTAGACTATTTGTGGCAACTCAGACCAGTCCAGAAATGTATCCCAGGGAAACAAGGAGAAATCTGTTATAATAATAATAATAATAATAATAATAATAATAATAATAATTGAATGAATGATTTGAAATTAGCACATCAAATGTTGTAAATTGACTTCTGAAGTTCTGAGTACACTTACAAAAAATATTTGAAATGTTTTATATATACCCTCTTCCAGTTTATCCCACTCTCCTCTTCTGTGACGAGAAGAAAGTAAACAATGGAGAAATCCCCGCCCAAATTTCTTTCAGATCTCAAAGCAGCCTAAATTAATGAGGTTTTACTGACAAAAGATACAGTGTGAGTTTACTGAGCTGTATTTGGTTCAGTGATGGGAACACGGGGTATGAATACTAATGACTAAGCAAGAATATGGGAATGCACGATAGAGACAGAACACCTTGTAATTAATATCCTCAACGGCTATTTCACTGTCCCTCACACTCATGGGTCAGATTCCGGCCCTTTGAGGAGTCCTCACCAGATAAGAATAGCTGTACCCTTATTGATCACAGAGGATTTACCCAGCCCCGTTCCAAGGCCCCCTGAGGGAATATGGAGGAAATGCAAGTCATGGTCCTTCCAATTAAAAAGCTGGAGCAAGGCAGAGCCATCAGGGGAGCAGAGCGTGCACCTGCTTTATTAGGAGTGCCCCTAAGGAGCCTCTCCCCCAAAAAAGTGTTTATTAATGTTAAGAAGAAATTAAGCATGGCGAGCCATATTTTTAATCTTAAAAATTAAAAACTTGAAATTCGAGCTTATTCTGCAGCATTGTTCTTCAAATGCTTTTTTAGTACCGATTCAAAATAGTAGTTTGGACAAGAAAATTAATTCACGGGAATGGAAAATATGCACTTCATGGCGGGGTATTTTTTAAAACTTGAGCAAAGTAAATATCCATGGTAAGACAGGGGAAGAGGGAAGAATTTGCCCAGCTGGTTTCTTGAAGTGGTCCCGGACCTTGGGGAGGTCCTGTGCACTGGAGCAAAACCCTCTAAATTGCTCTTTGCTTGGGTCCTTTAGTACTGATCCTGATCCAAGTGCAAAAACTCAAAATATTAATTTAGTGACCTTTGCATCTCCTAGAGCACAACCACTGAGCTCCTAAAGACAGTCTCGGGGATCACTGGCCTGGTGATCTCTCTGGCTTTGGTCTTGATCATGACCTCTTCAACCGGGTGCATCAGACAGTCCTCTTATGAGCTATTCTGGTATACACACCATGTTTTCATCATCTTCTTCATCAGTCTGGCCATCCATGGAGGAGGGTAAGTCCATGCTATACTCCAGATGCTCAGGTCTGTGTCTCTGTGTATACACATTCCCTGAGTATGGTGAAATTGTGACCATCAGTGAACACGGCTGAGCAAGTATTTGCCAAGTCCTTTGAGTACATGTCAAGGATTGGTATAGCTGGGTGGGATGGCTGGCCTATTTTGAGGTTTTCTAGAATGTTCCACACTTGTTTCCGTAAGGGCTGCTCCGTTTCCAACCCCACCAACAGTGAAGGAAGGTTCCCTTTCCCCTGCAGCCTCACCAGCTTTTCTTGTCAGATGTTTTGTCAGTCTCAACCATTCTGCCAGGCTGAAGAGGAAATCAAACCGCAGAACAGCTTTAATTTGCATCTCTGTAATTGCTAAGAATGTTCAACACTTTGAGATATTTCTTTCCTGTTTTTATTTCTTCTTTTGAGATCGCTCTGTTCAGATCCATATCTCATTTTTTTTTAAACTGGGTTGTTTGTTTTAACTCCAGTTTTTTACTTCCTTGTAATCCCCTATCAGATGTGTAGATAACAGACATTTGCTCCTACTCGGTAGCTTCCTCCTGACTTCACTGTTTCCTTTGCTGTACTGAGCTGTCTTAGTGGCTTGAAGTCACCTTTGTCAACTGTTGGCCTTAATTCCTGAGTGAAAGGAGAGCTCAGAAAGTCCTGTCCCGCATCCATACCCTGTAGGATTCTGCCTGGTTTCTTCTGACAGTTGCGATGTTTTCAGGTTTCATACTGAGGTCTTTGATTCATTTGAAGTTGATATTTGTGCAAGGTAAGACATATGGGTCTTAAGAATTTCATTCTTCTACATATAGACACCCAGTTCTTCCAGCATCTGTGATTGAAGAAGCTGTCTTTCTCCCATGTTCATTTTTGACAGCTTTGTCCAGCACAAGATGGCTGTACTTATGTGTAGTTGTTTTGTGTCATGGATCTACATGTCTGTATTTGTGCCCGTACAATACTGCCTTTGTTACTATGGCTCTCAATGTACCTTGACATATGGTATGGTAATCCCCCAACACTGTTCTTTTTGCTCAGGATTGCTTTGGCTAGTTGGGGTCTTTGGTGGTTCCATATTAATTTTAGGATTTTTTCCCATTTCTGTGGATGATGTCATGGGAACTCTGATTAGGGTTGTGCTGAGTCTGTAATGTAAAAATGGCTATTTTTCATAGCATCAATTCTCTCAATCCATGAGCACGAGCAGTCTTTCCATTTTCTAGTGTCTTCTTTTTCTTTCTTTAGACATTTAAATTTTTCACTGTAGAGGTCTTTTATCTCTCAGAAAAATTATTCCTAGGGATTTTTGATGCTACCATTAATAGGAATTCTTTTATAATCTCATTTTCAATGTGTTTGTTGTTAGTCCATAGAAAGGCTATTGAGTTTTGTGTTAACTTTAGAAAGAAAACTCTTAACATAGGATCCCAACGGTCAGTAACTTGCTGAAGATGTTTTTGTACATAAATAATATTTCATAAGGAGAATGCTAGAGTTATTGCAATCTTGCTGAAAGGCTTATTTGGGGATAAGGATCTTATTTAATCTCCTCTTGACATAGTCTGCAGCTACTGTTTACATCAAAAGTGATTTGCAAATTCTATACAAAATGCCAAGTAGATGGAGGATTGCTGAAGGTGTTAAAGCTCCTTAGTCTGTCTACTTATTATGCAATGGTATAGATGGAGAAATTTTAAACTTTTTACTTTTTTAATTAACATACATATGGAATGATCTAGAACCCATGCCTAACATCTAAGAATAAATGTACCAAAATGCATAATGTCCACAATCTGGTTCCCACTTAACCATTCACCCACTTCAGATGGCCATTATTTGTGTCCTGGAGATTGGCCTGACTCAAACGTGTGCTATCGAGCTTTGGGGGCATACAAGAAGCACAGTCAGAGGCTATCGTGTCATTTCTAACTGACACCCGACTAGTTCCAGGAGCATTATTGTTACTTTCCCCCCATGCCCTATAATGCCCAAGGAGACCACTACTCCACAGTCAAACCAGGACGTGTATCTCTGGGATGCTGATGTTTCTTGGTCTATGAGAAACTAGTTTCTCAGAATAAACCAATGCATCTTCTTCATAAGCACCTAGGAATTGGGCAGCTCCAAGATTCTATTACCTCAATGCCTGACCCTTTACAAGTATGTAAAGTCATCCTGAGAGTTGATGCCAAAGCGATTTGCAAAGGTCAGTTAGTCATGCATCTGTAACAAGTGCAATATAGTAGGATTACAGGAGTCTTTATCCAGCGCTCCATTCATTCAGGGTTCTCTCTCTACTTTTAAATTTATCAATACAGCCTCAAAGACACATTTCAAAGTGACCCGTTTTGACCTTGTCAAATGCTAAGCCCACTAGTGGTCACTGGGGGGAACAAATACCATTATTCCGGGCACTTCTTTGGACTTAGTCTCTTGAAACTTCTAAGCGTTCAGATACAAGCTAAGAAGGGTAGAAGTTAAATCAATCTGCAAAAGGAACCAATCGTACAAAGTTAGCCAATTAGCCCAAATCAGCAATCAGAGCGAGATGAAACCTAATTAAATTCAACAGTCTACAAAAGGATGTGTTCAAACAATTTCCTTCATTATGAATTCTCTAATACAGACACTTTCAATGTGACACAGGGTACCACAGAGAGGGTACTTCTTTTCTGGGATCTTCAAAGTTACCCAAAGCTTTTAAAATGCCTATTTTTAAAGACGCTGAGGGAAGTGAATGACAGCCCAAGTTTCAAGAGCTGGGAAGTGTTTTTCTGGAAGCCACTGCAGAGTATAAATCTGTGTAAAGACACCGTACAAAATCAGCCTGACATTTTCCTGCTTTTTTGTTGTTGTTGTTGTTTTGGTGGTGGTGGTGGTGGTGGTGGTGGTGTGTATGTGTGTGTGTTTCTAAGTCGGATTGTTCGAGGCCAAACTCCAGAGAGTCTCCGGCTGCACAATGTCACCTTCTGCAGAGACCGCTATGCTGAATGGCAGGCAGCTGCCTTGTGCCCTGTGCCTCAGTTTTCTGGCAAAGAACCGTCGGTAAGAGTGAACCCAGGAGCTTTTTTTAAAACTAACTGTCCCCACAGTTAAAATAACGAGAGCTTTTATAGGCTTGAAAAAAGAACCGCCATGTCACCACTAGATGAAGCCAACTCTTTATTAAGTGGGCTAATGGAGAAATCGAGTTATGGATAATTTTAAAAGAGATTTACTGCCAATGGCACTTTATTCAGCTTTAAAATGTGTTCTACTCCGGCTTAAATATGGATGTCTGATATTGCAGGACTTCATAACAGCAGAGTAATGGCTCCAAGGGAGTTAGCCTGGCGGCTCGCCCTCCACCCTCTGCACCCCCACTCTCCCTCTGCCTGCATCCTGAGGATCTGAGAGGACCCAGCCTCTTCATGAGTCTACCCTTCTTCCTTTCTACACCTCTTTTGCGATCCAAAGAATTAGGGGTGTCCAATTACTTTTGTTCTACTTAAACTCAATGCTAGCCAAGAATAGATTTAATTCATTTGAGTATTGATTTAATGATAGTGCCCACAGATTTTGAGAGTGATGTTTTCTGGGTATGCAGCAGCCACTGCAGTTGGTGACATCAGCAAAGAGGACTAATACTCCTGTTTGATCTCCAGTGTATTCGGAAAGCACACACTGCTGGTTGAACTGGGTGATTGACATGTGGCGGAAAATAAATGAGATGACTACATTAAAAGGAGGAGGAGGCCGCGGCTGCAGCGCAGTTGGTAGAGTACTTGCCCAGCATACACAAAGCACTGAGTTTGAAGCTCAGAACCACATAAACCGGGCACGGTAGCACAGGCCTGTGAGTGCAGCACTCAGAGCAAGGGGGCAGGAGACTCATCATAGGAGTGCCCCAAAACACCTAACCATCCTGGAAGACATGAAACTTTGTCTCAAAGCAGAGATGGAAAATAAAAACTAGGGGGCAACAATTTTCCAAAATATATATAATTTAAAATGGGATAATAGAATTTAATAGCTTATAAACTATGAGGATTTAGGAAGTTAAACAATGACATCAGAAAAATACAAATCATTGCTTTTTAAAAAATTCTCAAATACACTAAATCCAGTGCCATATTTTTGGGACAAAACTGCTGGGAGAAATGTTTAAAACCGAGAGATGTGAGATACGTGCCCATTGGACTGTGGTTCTTTTAATGGCTGCTATAGATTGTCTCTGTCTTAGACTCAACTCTCCGTGGATAGATTGTCTCTGTCTTAAACTCGGCTCTCAGCAGCCACTATCCGGCCTGCATATTAATGAAGAACGTGAGTACCTCTCTAAAAATCTTCAGCCCCAGCATCTCCATTAAAAAAATCAATACTCTCCCACACTTCATGAATACAGACCAGGGGCTGCTCCCAGCAGTGAATGCTGGCATTAGTTATGATTAAGAGGGGGAACCTCCCCATCTCTTGCTAACTCCCCAGCTACACCTCTGTGCACCCAAACGCACTGCGTCACTCTTTGCCATTATTTTTAATGGATCCTGATCCAAAGCGTCTGTGGGCTGTGCAATTACTGCTTGGCTGAGCTGTACAATATTCCCTCTCATGTCTTATAGACACTGAACCAGAAAGGCGTTCCAAGGACACCGAGGGGTCTCCTGTTTCACTGCCCCAAACCTAACACCGCTTAACAAGACTCAATTTAGTCTTCTTTGCCTCTCTTTCCTGGGCATTTTTAATGAAGATTTTTGTCTATAGAAATAGCCATTAGTGCCACAATGTCGAATCAGAGAATCTTTTGTCCATCACCTTGTATAAACTGTCCAGAGAAATCCCCTGCCCCCTTTTCTCTCTCTATCTCATAGGCACACAAACCTGCAGATTTGAGAGTTGCTCATGCAATAAGTCTATCTTGGTCCTCCTTCACCAAGGAATTAGCTCATTTTCCTGTGCATCAAAATCATATGGCTCTGCTTTTTTCCCACTTTCTAGGAACAAGGATAAGGGCAAGAGGGAACGTTTGTATCAGGGTAGAGTCAATCAGGAAACAACCATCAAGTGGTATGTCACCAGGCTTGCACAGGACTTACTCAAGGGAGACCTACCCAAGGAGAGATTATTGCCAATAAAAATAGTGTATTCATAGCCACACACATAAAATAAAATCAAAGCCAGTCTGCCCCTATTTTCTGGTCGGACTAAAAATGGAGGTATCAAGTTTCGTTGTTGCTACTAAATCAACGTTCTCACTTCTGTTGTAGTGCATTCGCTGTACAGTGATTTTCTGAACATTTTTGGAGTAGGAAACAAGAAAGTTAGGCATCCATATTGGTTTTCTGTACGAGAGAAGCTAACATACTAAACAGTTCTGGCCTTTTAAGAGATGGAGAAAGTGAGGTTGAGAGTATTTCAAAGTGTTGCCTCTGCTACAGAGGGCATGCATTCCAAGCAAAGCCACGCCTTGAAAAAAAAACTCTTTCTTGACCTTGTGGCTGGCTGTGCCGCTTCTTCCCCACATCCTATGGCATTCCTTCCAAATCTCTGACCTTCTTTCGAGACTTCCTTTACATGTTCCCAGCATCATTTTTATCTCCGTGAATAAACCCAAAACATTCAAAAGCTTGGCAGGAACTTAAAATTTTTCTCCAATCATTTTCCAGTTTGAAAAATACAAAATTCAAATATACAAAAGCCAAAGATGTGAGTTGAGGAGAGAGCTCAGTCAGTCAAGAGCTTCACAGGAAGGCGTGAGAACTTAAGTTCAATCCCTGGCACCTACATAAAAGCCTGGCACATTAGAGTAGGCGTATAATCTGAACACTGGCTGGTGGAGACAGGCAGTTCCATGGGACTCACTGGCCAACCACCTCAGCCTAATCAGTGAGCTTCAGGTCTAAGTCAGGGATCCTATTTCAAAACCAGTGTGGAAGGCTCCTAAGGAACAATACCCAAAGTTGACCTTGGAGGCAAGCAGGCAGACAGGCAGGCACAAACACAGGCATGCGTGTATGCATACACACACACACACACACACCACACTTCATGGTGTATCAGAAAATACAGGCCTAGAGATGGGAGCATGGTCTCTCCATCTCTTGACTCCCGTCTACGCTGATTCCCACAGTTGGACCACTTTCCTAACATCACTTACTGACTGTATCTCACCCTCACTCCTGAACACCCAAAGGAATTCTGGGAGTATCACAGTATAAATAAGCCTCCCTATCTCCTCCTGGAGCAATTTATATAGTAGAAAAGAGATAGAGCCAAGGATTAATGGCTTACATTCTCCTTCCCGACTAACCATGAAAAGAAAAATAACCCATTTCATTTCATCAATGTGGAAAAATCAGAGGCCATGGCTGATTTGACACCACCAAAATGAACTCTGTGATGTCTAAAATGTGTGTTTCAAATGGATATGGAAGATTATTTGTGAAAATACACAAAGACTATGTGAATGTCTTTGCAAATCTTTCTCTCGTGTAGAAATTGTTGCTGTCATTTCTCTAAATATCCAAACCACTTCTTAAAATACTTTCTGCTCTATTCAAGCATAAGGAAGCCTGGCTTCGTTTACTTGGTCCAGCTCCATCCTCCTGCCATTTCCCTTATTCTTCCTTCTCTAATCAACTTCACTGCTTCACCCTAGCACGAGTGGACAAAAGGTTTTACCCTCCCCGCTATTCTGAACACGTTGCTGAATCCCACTGAGGCAGAAAAGAGTAAATGGGTCAAATTGCTTTGTGTTGCCTGAATAAATTCTAGCGTTTGTCAAGCAAGCAAAAGGCCCCCAGGAAAGAAGCAGACAGAGCTGATAGGTGAAGACAAGTACCATACAAAAAAAAAAAAATATACAGGACTAACAAGGAAAAAAAGGAAGGAAGGAAGGAAGGAAGGAAGGAAGGAAGGAGGGAAGGAGGGAGCAAGGGAGGGAGGGAGGGAGAGGGAGGGAGGGAAGGAAGGAGAAAAGAAAGGGGAGGAAGAAATTAAAAATAAGAAAGGTAATTTAAAAGAAATAAAAATCATATCAAAAAGCTTGTGGTCTTGGAGGCAACGCCAGACAGCCAGTAAGGAAATGAGTAATGAGTGTTAAAAGAACACACAGACTCAAAAGAAGGATGGTCCTTCCCTGCTCCCAAGGTTATTGGAGAGTTTAGGTCATGGTAGATTTAGAATAATGAGATTTAAGAACATTTTCCAACCTTGAGGTCCAATGAGGCTCTCTGAGATCCAGCCACACATTCCTAGGCAACTCATACACATTCTTAGAAAATCGGAGTCCGTTTATGTTTTCTTTTTCTCTATAAGATCAAGGCAAGATTTCAAAAACAAGACAAAAACAAAAATCCTTGACATTCTAAAAATTCAATAAGCTCAGGAATCTCTTGCTGTTTTATAAAGCAAGCCTCGGGATCTATTCTGGTATCAGACAGGAAGTAATGGAACTCTGTTCCTGCTGTATCATTGGTGCTAAAGCGAGGCAGCTGAGATCCTACAAGAACAGACTGTGTGCAGCTCCACCCAAGCCTGTATCTTCACCAGATATCTTATCATGCTGAAGGGGTGGCTTGATCAGACTGAGCCTTGGTTTCTTCCATAAAATGAAGAGGTTATCATATATCAATACCTTAAATATATATTGAACCACAAAAAAATTATAAGTTCCCATTCCTTCCCATCTACTGGAGAACGATCCCTTATGCTACACACAACACCTGAGACAATAGGCTGCCAGAAAAATGGGTCATCTATAATGAAGATTATACTCAAAAAAGTTAACATCATAAGCAACTTTTTAGAAGTAGTAATTTTTTCAACATGGAAATTTTCCTTATCATAGGTCTCCAGACAATTGTGGATGCCTTTGTTCTGATCCTCTGAGACTCGAGGTGTTAAAGAATCTAGCTTGATTTTTTTTCTTTCTAGATAACAATATGTGTGTGTGTGTGTGTGTACATGTGGGGCTGTGGGTGTCTGTATTCAGACAGATCCCATAGTTGTGAGGCTCCATTGGCTCCCAAAATTACTATTTGAAACTTCTTACATCAGCTGAAAAATGCTTTTTGACTTTGAGTGGGTTTGGGAGCATTTACGACCCTATCATACATAACATAAACACCAATCTGCCTTTCTTATTTCTTTGAAAATTCAATTATTTCTAATTACATAAAGGCACCATTGATCAAGCAAGCATAAAAACCCATAGAGGAGAATTTAATCTCTTAAATAAGATTGTAGACTTTAAGAAATAATTAAATGTTATCATATTTAGTACACAGAGACATCTTTGTTGTTGATAGCTGAGCCAATATTAAGGGAAATATCTTAGTCCCATTGTACTATAAATAGATATGGTTCAAATCAGAAAATTTTGGATTTTCATCTCTCTCTCTCTCCCCAGGCCTGGAAATGGGCTTTGGGCCCTGTGGTCTTATATGCGTGTGAAAGAATAATTAGGTTCTGGAGATTCCAACAAGAAGTTGTCATTACCAAGGTATGCGTGTAGCTTTATGTCTGAATAAAAGCCTGAGTGTAGATGAAAATGTTTTATTAGCCCAAGTTTTTAATTTGCCATTTTTATTGCAGAACTGCCTGTAATTTAGAGGCTCATCTTCTGTTCTAATAATTGCTTGTATCGGAGCATCTTTCAGTGTGACCAGTTTTACTGGAGCCAGGGATCAAGGCTCCATGCTGGCACATAGAATTCTGATAAAGGCTGATGGCACGGCACTGGAGTTAGCTACATTTCTCTTTATTATGGCTTCTCTCTAGTGAGGAGGAGATGGGGAACCACAAAGAATGCTTTACACTGACCATAGTAACTTCAGGTACCGCATCAAGGTGGAACTTTGCAAACTTGCCAGTATCGTCGACACAGCTTCAAGCATGCCCATGCTTCCCTGGGAGTACTGAGCACAGGCTTTGAATGAAGCCACGGATTCAGGATATGAAAGGGTGCTGGAGGTTTGAGATGGAGAGGGCAGACATAGCCTGTGCTCTTCTCTGTTTAGTGATGTGCTCTCTGGTGGGGCTTCCCCCCTTGCTCTGCGTCCTCGTGGCTCAGTAATTTTCACATCATGCTGGAGGAAGATAGGAATGGATAGGCAGAAAAAATTATCCACGGGTTGACAGAAGTAAAAAGCACTCTACTGTCCTTGTTGGGGTTTCTATTGCTGTGACGAAACACGATAACCAAAAAGCAAGTTGGGGAGAAAACGATTTATTTGGCTTACACTTCCAGGTCATAGCACTTCATTGGAGGAAATCAACACAGGAACTCAAGCAGGGCTAGAAGGAACCTGGAGGCAGGAGTTGATGCAGAGGCCAAAGAGGGGTGCTACTTACTGGCTTCTTCTTCGTGGCTTGCTCAGCCTGCTTCCTTATAGAAACCAGGGCCATCAGCCAAGGGATGGCATCACCTGGCATGGTTTGGGCCCTTCCCCATTGGTCACTAATTGAGAAAATGCATAATAGCTGGATCTCATGGGGGCATTTCCTCAACTGAGGCTCCTTCCTCACTGATGACGCTAGCTAGCTTGAGTCAAGTTGACACAAAACCAGCCAGTCCATCTACCCACTCCCCAGTGTTAGTACAATTTGAAGAGAGCTCCACAACCTTTCGCTGTCTCGCTGAAAGAAGATGAACAGGAGAACGCTCCATCAGAGGCAGTGTCAGAAGGGAGAGCAGAATCCTGGAACTAAAGAATGACCGCTGTCAGGGGCTCCTCACATGGAAACATGCCATCCCAGTATTCCCATATTGGCTTGTATTCTTGTGTCTGTTTGCTATACATGACGTGGAAGTGTGCAGAGATCTTTCACGAGAGAATAGCTATCTAGGGAGGGCAACTGCTGCTGTCCTCGGACAAGCCATTAGTGTAAAGTCTTTGTACAAGCTTCACGGGGATTCCCGATATCAGAAACCCAGAACCAAGACAGTGCATATATATATATATATATTAAACCTCAACAAATAAAACGTTTTAGAAAGAAGTGGAAGATTGGTATTTTTCCCTTTATCGTGAAGAAAATTGCAGGATTAATTCTCAAGAGATTGAGAAAACACGCAAGTAACTGCCAAAGGTAACACATTACTGTTAGGTTTTTTTGTTGTCGTTTGTTTTGTTTTTGTCTTTGAGGTGAAGATGATGTGGTAACTATTTTTAATAAGCTCCAGTAAAATTATGGGCTATCCATTCATCCCCACTTATTCTCAGTTAGAAATGATTCACTGGGCTCAGGGAAGTTTGGTCACATGGGGACGTGGAGTCACATGCCTGCCCTGTTGCCTCCTCGTGCAGTTACGAAGAGTCAAGCACAGCGCCCTACACAATTAACTCTATTATCACCCAAGTTGCAAGTCCAGGCATGAAAGGAGTGACAAATACAAATGGTCTAAGGAAATATAAACCAGTTAACGATTTTGCAAGCCTTTGACAGAATGACGACTGTGCCCTTGTTTTACCTGAGTGAGAATCTCCACAGTTCTCTGCTCTGTCGTAGGTGGTGAGTCACCCGTCTGCAGTCCTGGAGCTTCACATGAAGAAGCGCGATTTCAAGATGGCGCCTGGACAGTACATCTTCATCCAGTGCCCGTCCATCTCCCCGCTGGAATGGCACCCCTTCACTCTGACCTCCGCTCCCCAGGAGGACTTCTTCAGTGTGCACATCCGCGCATCTGGAGACTGGACAGAGGCATTATTGACAGCCTTTGGGACAGAGGGGCAAGCCCCCAGTGAGCTCTGCAACATGCCAAGGTGAGACCCCTGAGTCAGTGTTTTTTCATTCAAGTCTCAATACTTCAGACGGGAAAATATCTAAACGCAGCAATAAATTGTCAGACTTGGAGATGGCTTTAGACCAGGCTGCAAATTTGAGTTTGTTTTAAAAAAAAAAAAAAAAAGAAAAAGAAAAAAGAAAAAGAAAGAAGAAAAAAAAGAAAGTCTCCATAAAATGTATAATTTAAGAGAAGCAAGTACATTTCTGTAAAAATAAATAAATGTTCAACAAAAGTAGGCGACGATCCAGGAAGAAAGAACTGTTTCCTTTCCAGACCCAAATTAGCTCTTGTCTAATTATGTACGGTCTGCCATGAGTCAGACAACCCTGTGAGCGCTCTCCCATTACAGACTGGGCTTTCAGGCTATCTTTGCAAAGCTTGGTCTCCTGAAGAAGGATGCTCTATTCTGGTCAATGGGACTTAATTTGTACTGGTCCTATGCAACCACATGGTAATGTATAGGGGATGTACATAGAAACTACTCATCTCTGCAACCCTATTTTCAAAAACACAGTACAGGTTCTACCTGTAACGCATCCTATTCAGAAAAGCCCAAGTGTTTGACCCAACACCCTGTGTGCATGGTCTTACCTTGGCTCCTTTAAGTGAACAAGAAGGTCGATTCCCATCCCCATAGGATCATCCAACGATACATGAAGTCCATGGATAGGGCCCCAGAAAAATCAAGAAAACAGAAAAATATGAGACAAAACAATTCCAAAAGTAAATATTTCAATAAAGCATTTTAAAAACAAGTTTACTGGTACCACTCTTGGGAGACAGTGGCCACCAGTGGCGCAGACTTACGTGGAAGTCCCTGCAGGGACGATGTTGTCACCCTTCTCCTGGATCTCCAGGACCAAGAACCATGTTAGACACCTAAAGATTACATAACCTAATACCTTCAGCCCAGCATATATCCTTTAGATCATTTAATTTGACAGCTATTTATTGATGACTAGGTAGGCACCCTTATAAGGCATGAAATGAAATGAGCTTGTCGCCCTCTTTCCCCTCTCCAGGGAAGGTGGAACAGTCAGCAAGCCACACTGCTTGTGTCTAGTGGATGGAAGGGATGCATGCCTTCCTGCCAAAGATGAGTCATATAGGACGAGCAATGAAGCTGAATTCTAAGGTTAAAACGAAGTGAAAATCAGGGGCAAGTGTAGAAGGAAGTGACATCCACCCCCCACGACACACAGTGCAACACAGTTACGGTGTCTGCAAGCCTCCCTCATGCCTGCCCATCCTCTCCACTGCTAAGTTTCAAACCTTTAACTTTTTTGTCATCCTTGCTTCTGCTCTGCCTGGATCCAGCTACTCAGTCGGTCAAATGTCCTTCCCTTCCCCCACCAACAAGCTTTCCATAAACCCACAGAAGTGCTGCGTGCAGCCTCTTGTCCATGGAGTGAGGTCGGGAGGTCTCGTGTGATCTGATCTCCGGGGCCTCTCTGGGTAATTCTGCTCCACCACCTTGTCCTTCGTGGATAGAACCCTCCCAAGCTTCTTAGTCTTTGGTAACTGATAGGTAAAATTACCTTTGCTTACTGTGTAGAACATGATTTTGTCAGTACATGTGCATTGCATTGTATCTGCCCTGTTTATATATGCGCATTATGTTTATATGTGTAGGTTATGTTATCTAGTGAACAGTTGCTAGTTAGCACAGTTAGCACTTCCACAATGAGAACATTAATGCTCACTTTGCATTTTTGAAGATTATCAGATTGTCACTGAATACAAGCACCTTGCTAGACACTGTGATCCGTGCAGTGTCCTTCCTGTACACTGTGCTTAGCTCTCCTTTCACTGACACCTCCCACCCCCCACCCCCGTCCCCACTCCCAGCGCTACCCAGCTAACCATCATTCTACTGTCTAAGTCTTGAGAACTACATTTTTAGATTACACTTAGTGTGAGATCACAGTGATGCTTCATATTTGGTGTAGGGTTAGCTATCATATTCCATAATGGTCTTGGTATAATGTATTAGTGCTCAGAAAGATGTACTACAATTGGCTGCAAAGTAAGAAAAGTCAAGTACCCCAGATATACCAATAGTAGTGTTAGCTACCAATGGCCCTCAGCTCAGAAAAATGAGGCAGAAGGCTGACGGTGTGAGCATCAAGAAGCCAGCAAGACTCAACTGCTGTAAGACAATAACTTCCTGCTTTACATTAAACCCTGAATCCAGATCAAAGGGATAACAGGTGGATAAACATGAAAGCAGAATTCATCCAGCACTCAGGAGCTGGTTCTGCAGATGGAGAGTTCTCTGTGATGCCCAAGTTGACTTCCCCAGGATCCACAGAAACCCTGGGTTAGCATGGCAGCCTGCTTGTAATCCCAGTGCTTGGGGGGTAAAGACAGATGATCCTGGAGTCAGCTTGCTAGCCAGGCAAGGCAAATCAGTGAGCTTCGGGTTCAAATAAAAGATCCTTCCTACATTAGTATATAAAATGGAGTGATCAAGGAAGACACTTGACATCAAGTGCTATCCTCTACATGCATACCCAAACACATATGTGTGCACATATCAACATATCAACACACATTCAGACACATAGTTACAGGAGCATGCACAGTCACAGAACAAAGAAAGAAAGAAAGAAAGAAAGAAAGAAAGAAAGAAAGGAGGGAGGGAGGGAGGGAGGGAGGGAGGGAGGGAGGGAGGGGAGAAATGTGTCCTGTGTCCAAATGATATCTATTACAACTGTAAGGGATAGAGAAATGTAGCCCACCCACCCACGCACCCACCTACCCCAAAAAGACAAATCTTAAGGCATCAAGACTTGATATATAGGAAATGAGAAAGCTAGGGTGTATATACTCTAAAGGAGGCAAAGGTGAGAGCCTTACAGATCTCAGTAAGACATGAAAAAGAACTCTCTCAAACTTAGACCTGCCCCCAGCACATCATAGTACCTTGCAGGTCGATATAAGAGTATGGTCAGTTCTCAGACAGGGCAAGGGAGGGCTCTCAATTATAAACAATTAGAAAGTAATGTATATTTCTGTGGACTCTGGGACACAGGTGTCCTCTGAATTTAATTGATATCTTTTTTAAATTGGTGTCAAATAAATCACTGATTACTAATTTTAAAAATAATTAACAATAAGACATCTTAATTCGTGTGTGAGGTCTCTATCTACTTTCCTATCTATCATCTATCTAATTATTTAAAAATAATCTCCAGTGGGCTAAGATAACCAGCACCTTCTGGTTAATCCCTTTTAGTTTCATTCTTCTGTTTTCCATATATCAATATGTAATTAAGGCTTATTAATTAAGATTAACTCAACGAGAGTTCATTTGAATTATTAGGAAGTCTGGGATATAGAATATTTTTAAATAAATCTTTTTGAACTTTCATGAACACATATTTAAAGCCCAAATGGGCTAACCCCCCCACCCTCACCGTGCAGGTGACAGGCTCTCCTGAGGGGAGGGGGTTAGGAATGACTTAGAAACCTTTTAATTAGCATATCTTTGTTCATATGTAAATGTGTACTTTTGGAATAGGTGGAGTTATTTAATATATTCTGCCTACTGAAATGCTCTAAATATTCCCTTTACAACTGATTCAACAGATTGTTACTGAGTAGCTCCAGGCTGGGTAGCCACCAGGCACCAGATAAGCTATGAGTAAAGACGAACCTGCTCCCCACATCCAAAGACTCACAAACTGAGAGGTCAAAATGGACATCCTAAATCAAGAGCACACATATAGTAGAAATGCTAATACTACAGCAACAGTGGGGCAGGATGGGCGGGGGAACTTCACCTAGTCAAAGGGATCCAGGAAGACTTCCCTGGAGAAACGGGGTTTAGACAGGCCCCAGAGGAAGGGTGTCATCTAAGCAAGCAAAGGGAGAGCATGAATTGCATCTAAGTAGTCCATGTGAAAGGGGGCTGTACGGAAGAAGACAGCACTGCTGCGCATTTAGGAAACAAACGGAAAACCAACTTGTAGAACTGGGGAGAAGGGATGGGGAAGAATTCAGTGGAAGACTGTCATGTCCAAACGTCTTATTTATTCAAAGAATGTGTTTTATCATTACAAGGAAAAGTTACTAAGCAAAGGCAAAACATTTTTCCCGCCCCTGAACTGCTAATCATAAAGGCCTTTTTTTAAACAAATATAATCTGAAATAGTGAGTTTTACAAGTTGTACAAAACTGATAATTTTAAAATTTTTTAAAATTATATTTATTCCAAATACATCACTTCTATTAGACTAAAATGATAGAAATTTATGAAAACATATATAAATGGGGGATTTCACCCTGAAAAGAAAAGGCAAATCTTCTAAGTCACTGTGGAGTGTCTCCTTTGCTTTCGGCTGGCAGCAGAGGGAAGAAAGACAGACAGGCAGCTAGCGAAGATCCCAGAGCTTTAAAAAGAGCAAGCCACACTGATGAAGTAAGCTGCAAACAGGAAAAGGCGGGCTTTGCCTTCCAGAACCAACACCTAGCTAGGGTGTCCAGGTGGTGTTTCTCCAGTGGGGCAGACCCCTGCGTTCTAATGCTTACTCCAAGCTCTACAGATAGAACTTGTGTGTGTGTGTGTGTGTGTGTGTGTGTGTGTGTCTGTGTCTGTGTGTGTCTGTGTGTCTGTGTGTGTGTGTATTCTCATGTGTGTGTACTCATGTGTATGTGTGTACTTGTATGTGTACTCATGTGTGTGTACTTGTGTGTGGGTATGTACTCACATGTGAGTCTGTGTGTACTCATATGTGTATGTTTGTGTGTACTCATGTGTGAATATGTGTGTACTTGTATGTGTACTCATGTGTGTGTACTTGTGTGGGGTGTGTACCCACATGTGGAGGGGAGAGTGTGTTACTCACATGTGAGTATGCATGTGCACATGAGTGCACATGCTCATGAGAAGGCCCGGAGTTGATGTCAGGTTGCTTCTCTGATTTTTGCTTCTCCACATTATTTTTCTTTTTTGAGAGAGAAAGAGAGTGAGAGAGAGAGAGAGAGAGAGAGAGAGAGAGAGAGAGAGAGATTGAGAGAGAGAGATTGAGAGAGAGAGAGATTGTGAGAGAGAGATTAAGTCTTTCATTTGCCTGAAACTTGCCGTTAGGATTGACTGGCTGGCCAGAGAGCTCCAAAGACCTGTCTGTCTCTGCTTTCCCAGCACTGGGATTACAAGCTTGTTACCACCCTCAACTTTTTAAGTAAGTCCCGGGAATTGAATGAACTGAGGTTCTCATGTTCACATTGTAAGCACTGATCCAACCAATTGGTTCATCTCCCCTCCCCAAACAGAGAATCTTTATGTACCCAACCAACCTTTCTGCCGGCATTTGCCGACCCATTGAATAAAAACCACGGGCTTCAGATGTCTTTGTGTCCAAGAGTAAGACATTCTAGCACACGACTTTCTCTGATTCCAGGCTGGCAGTGGACGGGCCCTTCGGAAGCTCCCTGGCAGATGTGTTTCACTACCCTGTAAGTGTGTGCATTGCGACAGGAATTGGAGTTACACCCTTCGCCTCTCTTCTCAAGTCCATGTGGTATCAGTGTTGTGAGTCACAGAGCCTGCCTGAGCTGAGCAAGGTATGGAGAAATCATTAGTTCACCCTTCCATGGAGGGAAGGGTTCAACGCCCTTTTATCTATCATCTGCCAATTCCTGGGGAGGATTTTAATTAACTATGAGGGATAAACTTAAGGATCCTTAACTATACTTATGTTCTTAAAAATCTCCATTCAGGATTACATTTATGAGCAGGGTTATGTCTAATCTTGTTAAAAATGACAAGACATAAATTTTATTGCTTCATTGCCATTACAGGACATGTAATTGCTCATCTCAATAAAATGTGGACAGGCTGCAAATGGCTATGTGACTGGGTTGCCGTTCGTCATATTAACAGGCAGCCTTCCCCCTCATCTCTTTAGACCCATTCTGTGGTTGCAAATGCCCAGTTCCATCTTCCTTCCAGGGCCTAGGACTTTTATTCCTCTTGCAATGGTCTTGCCACCCAGCACCAAAACCCCCTTTGTGATTCCTTGTGTGTTCTTAGACTAGATGTGTCCATTCCCTTGTACTATCTGGTATGGGACGTCATCTCAGGCTTTGGTCCAGTCAAGGCAAAAGGAGCCTTCCTTTATACCCCCTGAAGGTTTCATCATTAAGTCTATAAGCCAAGCAACAGAAGACAGATGAACAGGAGAAAAGATACTGAAATTTACTGATGTGTAAGATGGGAGTCACACAGAGAACAAAGCTCAAAGGCCAAATGGTTGAAGCTCCCTTTGCAAGATATGGGCAGTTTTATAGTAAATTATTTTTAGGGGAGATGAATGAGCCTGAACAAGACACACATGGGACGAAAGTCGCCCGTGTTCTGCCTGTAGTGTCAGCTTAGTGTCCTTCATGAGACTGTACTCTGGAGAACCCAGCCTCTAGGTCAACAGGGGAGTGACAGAAACAGGACTCTGAAGGAAAAAGTGGGGCAGTTGATGAAGGTCAGAGAGAGGACTTGGTTCCTCAGCTCAGAGGACTCATCATCCGAAGGTATTGCGCTCTAGACTTTCCTCCTCTGAGCCCAAACCCAATTAGGATCAGCATCAGGTCCCACAGCAGCAGTGGACGGAGGGCCGTGTGTCTTAATCTGGGTTTCTAGTGCTGTGATAAAATATGGTAGCGCTCAACAACCTGGGGAAAAGGTTTGTTTCATCTTACACTTCCATATCATAATCCATCGTGTGAGGAAGTCAGGGCAGGAATGCAAGGGAACCTGGAGTCAGGAACTGAAGCAGAAGGCGTCTTACTTACTTACATCTTACTAACATCTGCTTACTGGCTTGCTCAGCCTGCTTTTTTGTGCACCCGGGACCATCTGCACTGGACTCTCCCATGTCTGTCACTAATTAAGAAAATACACAACAGTCTTGCCCATGGACCAGTCTAGTGGGAACACTTCCTCAATTGCGATGTCTTCTTCCAAATTAACCCTGGCTTGTATCAAGTTGACATGAAACTAGTCAGCACACCGTGTTGACTATGGAGCATCGAAGGACATGAAGGAGGAGGACACTTGGCAAGGCTAGACCTGATCCTCTCCTGCCCACGTCCACTCGGTGTGGCCTTTGGTTACAGTTTCCTCCTGGACCAAAGGAAGACACTATGATCAGTAACTGGATTGCTCTAAACAAATACGTGGCAAGAAGCAAGGAAAAGGGAATTTATTTTGGCTCGTGATTTGAGGATTTAGCCCTCCGTGGTAAGAATGGCCCTGTGGCAGTAGGAACATGCAAGAGCCATTTGCTCCTATCTTAACAGGCCAAGGAGCAGAGGCTGTACAGGATGCAGGACACAGCAATAAACCTTAAGCTCCTCCCCTAATCCAATGCTTGTAGGTAGGACCAACCTCTCAATGATCCCACAACCTCCTCCAACAGCTAAGGACCAAGTGTTGAAGCACACAGGCCTGTGGGGAACATTTTACAGCTACGCTGAAGCACAGTTTGTGTTCTGTGGATCATTTGTCGTTCCTTCTTTCTTCTGCTCGGGAACTGTGTCCTATGACACAATGACAAAATGTGACCCAGGGGCTCAAAACCTGCTATCTTTCCCACTAAGAAAGAAGAGTAGAATCAGCTGCTTGAGTGACAGGTGCTTGACATACATTTTTCGTTTGCTCTTGAAGCTAGCTGATCTTACAGCTGGGGCTCAAATGTTCGAACACATGAGCCTATGAGTAACATGTCACACCCAAGACCACAATACAGTATAACAATTTACGTTCCTTTTCCTGGATCCAGACAATGATGCCTAGAAAGAGGAAGGTGACCTGACTAAATGATGCACAGACGATCAACCACAGACTCCAGATCCAGGTCACTCAGTTCTATGACACAGTCAAGACGTAGTAGACATGATACCACATGAACCTGTAACCAAGTGCACAGGGTCTCTCTCACTCCTGCTAGCGCTCTCTCTCTCTCTCTCTCTCTCTCTCTCTCTCTCTCTCTGTGTGTGTGTGTGTGTGTGTGTGTATGTGTGCGCATGTGCATGCTCACACTCATGTAAGGGTACCCATAGATTCAAGTTCCAAGCACAGATTCCTGTGAACACTACATGTGTATTAGGATCAGAGTAAAGACCCAAATATCAGCCCTCAGACACATCTACCTTTTGTTAGGGACGGGATTTCTCCTGAAAGGGTTATCTTTCCTGTGAACTTCTAGAGGCCTGTTTGTCTTACTGGGATCTTGAATGGCTTTTTATGTAGGTTCTGGGGATCTGACCTCAGATCCTCAGACCTATAAGGCAAGTGCTTGACTAATGAAGCCATCTCCTCACTTCCACCATTTCTGATCCAAGCATCTCTGTATCCAAATCCTGTTCTTCAGGAGGCTCTGCCTGATTCAGCTATCACTGAAGAAGCACAATCTTCTGAGCTTCCATACACCTCTTTGGACTGGGATTCCTAGTCCATCCAATGGAGAAATAAAAATCCATATCAAACAGGGAGTACTTTTTAAAGGCAAATAATGTGAAATACAGAACTGTAACATGAAGGGGCATGCTTGTTGGGGGTTTCTGTCCTGCCCGGTCCCCCAGCCATTTAGTCCCAGAGAAAATCACACAGAGAGTCTATATTAGGTTATAAAACTGATTGGCCCATTAGCTCAGGCAACTTGTTAGCTCTTGTAGCTTATATTAACCCATTTTCTTATCTATGTTAGCCACATGACTCGGTACCTTTCTCAGTGGGGCAGCTAACATCTTGCTTCTTTGGTGATCTGGGCAGAACTGCAGAGGGAGCTTCCTGTTTCCCAGCATACTCCTGTTCTCATTGCCCCGCCTCTACTTCCTGTCTGGTTGACCCACCTATACTTCCTGCCTGGCCAATCAGCATTTATTTAAAACATGATTGACAGACTACAGACAATTCTCCCACACCACAGAACCACGGAGTACATGTTCATAAAACAATATAAATACGAATCGCATCCACAAAGATATAAGCAGATTGCTAGTACTACCAGAACCAAGAAAGATTTATCAAGTATTTTCTATCCTGCCAGTATCGAACAGGGCATTTTACATATCTGATATTACACAATCTCTTGTAAATACTTGCCATTTTTTTCTACAAAAAAAGAAAACACACGCCAATCCCAAAACTAAAAGGAATGATACAAATGTCATATTAGATTGCCTTAATTAAAATGACTAATACCCTCACTTTACCAATGAGGGAAACAAAGCAGAGAGAACAAATGAACAAGAGAACTAGAACTTGAATTTAGGTCCTTCTGGTACTCAAACAACCCAGTTTCTTTTTTAATTGTCATTTATTATTATAGGATGAAGGGGACAGTGCCATGGCATTCCTGTGGAGGTCAGAGGACAGCTGTCCCGGGTCAGACCAAGATCATCAGACTCAAACCACAAGCACTCATCCCCTTGGCCCCAAGCCTGTCTTTAGCAGAGTGAGCCGAACAGCCACTATTCTGTAGGCTTGGATCTCTGAACCAGGCCTTCTTCATCTTCACCTTGCAGTCTACCAAGGAAAACTCACCTGTGTGGGTGGCTTGTTGCTTCATAGTCCCCACGACCCCTGAGTCACACCACGCATCACATGGAGAAGGAAGAGCAGAGGAGTCTCTTTCACTTGCTCACTCAAGCAACATACATTCAGCACTCACCGTGAGTCAGACCCTCGTACTGACATGCGGGTCTCTCAGATCTGCCTCAGGGACCCAGCACACATCTGACGTAGTCACTTCTCTTCTTTCCACCTCCCTGGCCTCTCTGCTGACCTACTGTGTTACCCCGCTCCCTTCCTTGTGTAGACATTCATGAAGCATCTTTTGAACACACTGTGAGCTTCTTAACCCTGTTACCTCCTCCACATTAGTGAATATGTAGTATGTGTATGCACTGGTGAGCCACTGAGTCAGCACCAGCATGTGAGATTTTGATGTCCACCTCCACACTCCCTGTTAGAAGAGGTGGCATGCCCAGGATATTCCAAGCTTAGGCTGAAAACTGTGCCTAAGTCCTGATGGAATTAGCCTACCTGGTCACAGGGTTAAGAAGTTTCTGTCCCATGAAGCAGGTAGGTGAGTGTGTGTGTGTGTGTGTGCACGCGTGTGCACAGTTCTCACCAGTCTTATGTAACTAATATTCATCAGTGCCACCTACACGCTTGTGAGATATAAATACGGCTTCCTCCACTGAACTGTCAGCGTCTCTATAATTTCTAAAGTGGAGCAGAGCAAAGTGGTGTGTGTTTAGCTAACAGCATCATCACAATTCTAGGTCTAGGCTACAGCTTCCAGATCGTTCTCTTTTGTAACAAGAGGAGAGAAACAGGAGCATAGAAATGCAGAGCTGAAATTTTCGGTGTAAACTGTTAACTGCAATTGGATAGTTTTTTTTTTCTCGTCTCTATGCAAAATACCCCTTCACATAAAAGTACACATTTTAATGTTTAAACCTCAAGTTGTAACTCCACACAAAAAGAAATTACTGAACCTTTCTCCATTATTACCATTGTATGTAATCTCTCTTCCTGCTGCTCCTGTTCTTCTTCCTCT